TTACTTGACACGCCCAGGAACATCGCCTTCTTTTTCTCTCCTGTTGCTACAAGCCTGCCTGAAACTCCACTTTGCGGTGAGTTCGGGTATGAGGTTCTGTCAAACTTTTAACGGACATTTCCGTCCACGACGTTGCCGATCGATGAAGAGTTTCCCCACGTTCTTTGACGACCTCGAGGCGTCCCCGAGGACCTTTTGAGTCCTTCCTTCCTTCCTCCGTCGCTTCTTCCGAGAAGATGAAGCGAGCGCGTCGTCTCTGCATTAAAGATGCATCATCATCAAAACTTTCCCTCGCTTCCTATCTCGATATCATCACGAATTGAACAAATTCGAAATTATCTGAAGCGATAAAAGTGGCGTGGGAAACTTTGGCCTGATACGAAATAATTGTGTCCTAGTAATATTATCGAATATCTTGCGTCAGCCATGAACGATTGACGACTTATCTTTGGAAAGTTTAATGGAAAATTGTCATCTATCGAAACTTTCTAATTTTCGCTATTGAATTTTGTGTTAAAAATTCTTCTTTCGTTTCATTAAAAATGAATTGTATAATATTGTACATTTGAGCTTTGTTGCTCATTACATCATACATCTTCGGATTATTTCTACCTGAGAGCTCTCACTCCTGACATACCTGTCGTTCTTTGCATTTTCGTCAGCAGGTGATAACCAGTCGTCGATCGTGCGTCGCTTTTAAAAGCCTCGTCACGTACATTGAAAAATATTTCTACATATCGACAAGCTTTGCCGAGCTTTCCGCATCGCTTTTCGCGTGCCCGCCATCGCGAAGGTATCCTCGGCGCCGCTCGATAGCGAAGGGGGAAAGATTTCTGCGGATTCCAATCCGGCTGCTGCTGCTGCTGCTGCAGCATAGCTGGCAAAATATTTCCGTGCCAGGTGGTGCACGCGGCCGATCCCGTATCGATGGTCCCTCGGATGAGTCACGTCAGATTTATGCCGCTCCGAACGTGGCGGGAATTCCGTCGAATTCCCGCATATCGAGACTTTTCCTTATGAATGCATGCAGCATAGAGACATGCTTTCACGACGCATTGTCTGTGCCTTGCTTGTATCTCTTCAGCCTGCTCTCAACTTTGTCCTGTTATCTTCGTATCGAATTTCGTCAGTGTATAATGAGGAAATTTGAGTTGGTCTTTCTGAAATTTTAGATGATATGTCAATGCGCGACGGTATCTTAAAAAGTTCGATGTGCAAGTTGTACATTCATGTTTATTATCTGAAATATTCTAATTTTTATATTTAATATTGAAGTGTGCGCAAGGTATAAATTTTTAGAAGCTTTTGGGATCTTTAACTCCACGATTTCCCGCTAAATATTTTCACTTTGCTAATTTTGTTGAATTAGTAGATTTAAAACAAGTAAAATATAATACATCTAGATTTTGTATTATACAGGGTGATTCAAAATAACCTGATGTCCTTGTAATGCCATATTCTTGAGCGAATTCTGAGATGATTTTTCCTTTTACAAAATTTTGTCCGAAGCTTAGTTTTCGAGGCCGATACAACGGACAGGCAGGGACGAGAAGCAATGCGTCATGAGACGATAGTAAACACTTGACAGTCTCATTATACGTTGTGCGTCCCTGCCTGCCTGTTGTACCGAACTCGTAAGTTGCTATCTATTTTCAATTATAACTCAATTTCAATTATAACTTTTCAATTATAACAATTATAATCACCCTGTATATCAGATATATTTATCAGTTAATTATCAATAGGTGCGAATATTCTTATTTTATATTGTAACGTTTAATAACGAGGTACGCTTGTAGAACTTTTAAATGAGTCAATCTCTTTGAACTCTTTTATCCTACAAGTTGCTGATACTTTAGTTCCTTCGAACCGTTTCACTCTTTAAGAGCAGTTTAATCCTCGCGAGTTTCCGATTGCCTGGAATTTATGTCATTTCGAAATCTTGCGGTTTTCCGATTTTAATCCGCTCGTTTAATTGTTCATCGTTGAGGATCGAGTCTCGTCATCATTTCGAGCAACGATGAGTTCTCTTAAATCTCGTAATCAAGTAAATCGTTAGCCACGTCGCTCTCACCCGCTCTTCTAAATGCTTCAGATTCTAGAAGAGCCAGTCCGTCTCGTGCGCATATACCTGCGAATTTAATTAAATTCGAAATGACCCTTCCTCCCCTCCCTTGATACCTCGGCGTTCTCCACCTTCTGGTATCGCGAGATATCGAAACTATCTCGCAGCTGGGATGGATAGAGGCTGGATATCTTTATGTAGGATCTTACGGACTTGCTATTAGTTTGGAATTTGAAATTTAATTATTGCCTAACATTAGGCAATAAATTGCTAAACATTAGGCGGAAAATAGGACAAAATTATACGAACGATTAATTCAAGAATTGGCTTTAACTATTTTTTTTTTTATTTAATTATCATTAAGTATTTTAAGAATTGTTGTGGTATTCGAAAAATTAAAACTAATGTTTGATTTAACAAAAAAATTAATAATTTTTTAAAATTTATATTGTAAACTTTCTATAATGTAATTTGTGTTATATTTGTAACATTATTACTCATACAATTTTTAATATTTTCTATACCGACCGATAAATTGAAAACTCTGAAAATTGTTACACGTAGTTCTTCTGTTTACTAAATTCTCTTGTGATGATTCTATCTCAGCCGCAAAAATTTTTATAAACAGACTCGCCAGCGGCGTAACATGCCAAGGTAACGTGATATGTAAATAGAATCCATCTGCACAGCACATACCCATCGCAATTTCCACGCCGGCTCTTCTCACGAGATGCCTTGTGAGAAGTGATCTGCATGACGGCTCGTAACTTTTTCGATTTTCGTATAATCGTTCGCCGAGCGCACAACAGTCTTCCAAAACTTGTTCACCCACCGCGGCGAGAAACGGCAAAAATGGCTCACGCGAAGCGAACGGGCGACGAAAACGACCGCTATTGATCTTGCTGATGTTATTATCATATAGATAAAACCAGCAACGTCGCTCGCGAATGTGATATTCGCTTATGATATAGTTTTCTTTTTCCATCAATATATGAAAATTTAAATCAACAAGAAATTTAAAATAAATATGATTTTTAAAAATTTACAATATTGATGTGTATTTTTTATTTTATGTTATTTAGTAGACATAAAGTCATTGGGAACTTTTCAAAATTACATTTGAAGTTAATAAAAAGTTAGAAATTCTTATTTCTCTTCCGTCATTATGATACATTAATATCTCGAGCTCGAAATCGCGGCGTTGCACGCTCGATTTCCCGTTCGTCTTACGGCGACTTTTGCCGTGAGCATCAAAAATACTATCGCGTTGTCTCGTGTACTTGCGCGAACTTCTGGCGCATAAGCTTGGAAGAGAGGAGAAGAACGTTAAACCGGTGGATTGCAGTTGCAATAGTGGCTAGCGGCGGTCCCGGAAATTGCAACTGCAAGCGGACCGGATCGTAAACTCAGGGAAACTCGTTGACGCTCTGTCGTGAGGAGGGGGAGAGAGACGAAGTACGTCAGGAAGTAAACGAGAAGAGGTCTGGCGTAGGTCAAGTCTGTCGTAATTCCTTCCCGTGTCCTTCAGTCCATCGTAAACCTTAAGTGAATTAGTAAAACGCAAAAGTGGCTACGAGTTTGTTCGCTGGCTTGTCGGAAATTCGTCGAGACAAACGTCAAACTCGATTCGTCGGATTTTTGATTTTCAAACTCGCTGTAAAGAAATAAAGAAAATTTAGAAAAAATTAGTCCGCTTTCTTCGATAAATGTGAAATGAGAGAGAGAAACGGTCTGGAATTCTAAAATATGAGATTTCAGTGCATCGCGGTGAAGCTCTAAGCGTGTGTCAAATGATATAAGATTCTGAGGCATAAAAATGAATAAAATGGCTATAGAAAGACTATAAAAGTAATCGGTGTGTTTTGCAGCCTGTCGACAACAAGCATAATTGGTTTGAACTGGTTTCGAACTGGTTTCGAGCGTAATAGCTATTGTTGCGCTCCATTGAATTGCAAGACATCTTCGAAGCACAAATCGCTGTTGTGATTAGATCGGTCGATCGGTCTGCTAATAGTAGGACAGCTGCCTCGATTATGGAGACGTTGCATAGTCAGCCTCATAATAGCTGGTACATAGCTGTCGCGATGTGCAACCGATAGATAATTGGCTTCTGGATATACATATCTGTTATATTCAGTGCGACATCTCCGTGAATTTGTCATTAACTCAGGTGTCGCTGGCACGAAGCGATCGAATTAATACGATTTTACATTTAACATTAGATTACGCCTGCATTATTTACATCTTCGACCTACATTGCAGAACATTTTCTGTTCAACTTTTAAAACTGTTACATTATATTTATACCGTATTATTATTTATGATAATTTATATCGTAAAACGATGAAATAGCAGGAGGATCTCAAGCCAAAGAAGATTATAATTCTTGATATCTTTTATTGAAACCAATGTTTTAATTAAGCAGTTTCAGCTAATTATTCAGCCATCTTCAGTGCTACCTTTACAAAACTGTTTTTAGAAGACCGTAAGTTCAATTCGTCATTATTAATAAAAACTGATCATTCGTGACTTTCGATCAATACCTCAATAAGAAATTCTCGCAATCACATACGTGATCACTTCATAAGAGT